GTCTTTCAGACTGAATGACCAAAATACTGGACGGCCGACCGACCGACCGACCTAGCGTCTCTAACCTTTTTGTAAATGTGTTTGTTGCAGCCTACTTCTACCGTTGTTATTCAAGTTACCAGTCTTACCCTAGACTCAGAGGCACCGATCTTACAAGACCCGAACGTCAAACAACTCTTTGTAGCTTACAAGTTCCTGGACTACGAACCCGCTGATCTGGAAACGCCAATTTCATTACCAAAGCCCGCACCGTACAGACCGATATACTATAACTTCAAGAAAGGTAACTATGAAACCTTAAGAAAATCTTCCCCTTCCTTCTTCCCTCCCATGCCTTTGTCCCGCATCTGATATACTATGATAGGAACTCAGTGACCTTGAAACAGGTACTAACTTAAACACCTCCAAGGTTTACTGTGCAGCGTAGTGATACGAACGAGTCTTACTTCAAAAGTGAAAATCGCCAAGACCTTTAAAGACGGCAAATTCATGACTTTTGATTGTAGCATCACCTCGATTTTGAAAAACAGGAAACTTTCCAAGTGTTTGCAATGGTGTATTTCTGGGTTTACGCATCACTCAATGGCATGTACTTACTCTTGTGTCTTACTTTCAGTTTTTTATGTGGATGAAGAAAAAAATGAGGGAAAGAGAAATTACTTGATCTACATGCTGTCCAACGATCCTAAGTAAGTTGTTTTTGCTTGTCATTGGCTCCCACTTGGTTGATTGGTCTGAAACTTTGCGTGTGTGTGGGTTGTTTTTTCATCGGGTAGTTAACCCTTTAACTCCCTTGTTTGACCAAAACTGAATTTCTCCTTACAACATCATGCAGACAATCGATGGAATTAAGAAATATATCAATAATGGGATTACTAATTGATCCGATACCAAATTCTCCAAATTAACATAATGTGAATTATGTTAATACTGCGCCTCTATCTACTTGGAGTGGAAATGGTTATTAGCGAATTCTCATTGAACCCTAACGAAATATTAGAGGTAACAAGCAATGGATTATTAACCATGTAGTAGGATTAGATCTCATATGCTCGCCAGCCAAGACAAACCCCAGCTACGAGGGTCAGCCTCGATTTTACATCCTTCAACCTCCTGTTTCCTAAATGATCAGAACTAGCAGCTGTATTTCCTTGTAGACTCGTGTTCACTGTGGTTAGTGACCCACCTGACGATGATGACGAAGGGGACTGTGTTGACGTAGCTTATGCGTCCGTGGATTTTCAGGAGGTTGGTATGGTTGATATGGTACGATGGTGGTGTGGCACAAGCCCGAAAGAAAATTCGTGTGTAAAGCTTGGAAAGAAAAACATCTTTTTCACATTATAATCTAAGAAGAGATATTCACGTCGTAAGAGTTTTTTCCTCTCCCGTTATTATCATAACGTCCTTAACCTTTTCGTGTGTGACCTTGAGTAAGGAATAGAACTGTTAATCATTTCTCCTGTGGTCCTGTTTTCTTTTATTTTAGATTTTATATGAAGGGGATGTCATTGACAAGGATTTAGCTCGTAAGTATAGAGCATCATTGGTGATGTTACTCGATAGACACTAGGGTTTTCAAAAACGATTATTTTGGCTCAGCACAATTTCTTTGTACGCCTTGTTGACACGTTGATTGCAGCAGAACTTCAGTAACATTACCACAGAATAAATAGCAACATAAGTGAGATTTTTAAAAAGATGTGTCTTCTTTGCAGTTTATGACACTGAAAGTCATTCCGAGATCGGAACACTCACTGTCTCTGTGGAAGCAACAGAAGCTCTACGAGACTTGTACAAGGATCAGTGAATCCTCGAAAGAATCTCCATAAATTCTTAACCAGGAACTTTCCGCCAAGGATGAAAATTTTGCATTAATTTTATTTTACAAGCTAGCGATTTTTATTGTATTGGAGGAAAAAAAAATTGTGGTTCTAGATATCTTGAATTTCTACAAGGAGCTAATAATTTTTTGCAATTTTTGTTCAATAAGTAGAAGATAAACAAGGCGAAAATCGTAATAACTTTTTTTCTAGCTTTTCGAGTTATGCGAGGGATAATTGCACGGTGGATGACTCTTGGAGGTATATCTGGAGCAAGTCTGAATACCAAGAACACGAATTCACACTCGACCCGCCTGCCGAGTCTCTTAACTGTAGGAATGTGATTTTTGCGACGATTCACTGCGTGTGATTTTTTTTTCCAGTAGAAACTTATTTTTGCTGATGGAGGCTGTTCGAAAATAAAAACCCGCAAGATTATATTCTCTACAGTAAACACAAAACTATCCATACATGTTCACGCTAGATAACGAACAGAAGTTGAGATTCTTGGGAAAATTACAGCAGAGACTGGAATATTTTTATTAAAAGGGTGTATTTAGTGTCGCATTTTGTAAGTCTTAAAAATTGTACTCTTGTAATTAGATTTAAATAGGCTGTTGAAGTTATTTATTGAAAGTCTCATTTTAAAAAGAGAATAAAGCGTGTCTTAAAAATTTTCCATGGTAATTATCAGTTTGTTAGTGGCTTGAAACTTTTTCCCTAGCACAATTTTGTTTATTTGCTTGTACATGAAACTAGTTAAATTTTTCACTTTTTTTTTTACCTTTTTATGAACGTTACTGCCCTTTTAAATATGCAGTTACGAATTATACAGTTGTAGGAGCATTATTTTTAAGGAAAGGCTTCTTACCCTGTCTTTAATCGAGTTGTGTTCTACGGGAAAACGATGGCTATTTGAAGATATTCAAAGAGTCATGTGTCAGAGTTGTGATTGGATGATATATTTTGTTTGTTTCTGAAACCAGATGGTAATGACGATCATGTCACTTACATATACGAACTCCATTTTGTCTTACAGTCTTTTGAAACAACCTCGTGTAATTTTACTACACATTTTATTGTTTACTGTTTAATCTATAGTGCCAAGTACAAACCGCGAAATACTAAAGTCAAAGGGGTGGCCTTTTCAAGGATTCTTTTCCTAATCGCCTTAGTCCGTGACTTATCTTATATGCATGCGATAAGTTTATGTGCGAGTTACCAGGCACTCAAACTCGTTGCTACGTTGTTTCTTCTTACTGTAGATCGTTGCAATGGCAACGATAATAAGCAACAAGCATATGGCGGCAAGGACACCAACGATGGCTGACAGAGTTGAGAGGTCAGAGCCAGAGTTGTCTGGTTCAAAGTTTTCTTCGTCTGAACCGTCCAAAGTGACAGATTCCTTGTGAAAAGAAAAGAACAACAACAATTCACACAGAGTAGTCTTCCCTTGTCATAAGAGGTCTGTAAAATGATTCGAACCTGTGCATGGTAAGGGAAAATTTTATCCCTTAATTCTCTTCACCAATCATCATGAAAAGTGGAGATTATACCAGTTCCAAGTTCAAAATGTTTTGTTTGTTTGTTTGTTTGTTTTTGTTTTGTTTTGTTTTGTTTTTCTTATGTTTTTTTCAAGCTGCGTAATACTGAAATTTAACATTGCATTCCATTTTTACTATTAACAGAAGAATTTTTAAATCATCACTAAAAATGAAAAATGTCGAAACTCTGGAAAGAGAATGTATAAGTTAAAGTTTCAGTCAAAGGGTAAAAATATCGTGTTCATTTTACCGAATTTTTCCTCACCTTTCCCTCCTCTTTGATGCTGTTGAGGAATTTTGGATGCGCTGCTTCACCCCAGACCTGTTTGTCTCGGTTTAACATATCGTCCGAGTGGTTACACGAGGCGGCAAGAAGCCCTTCCTTTCCGACAGAATATCGATCGTACTCATCCACAGATAGATCATAGACAGGTACAAGCTCAGTGTCGTTGTATGTTCCATAGAGTTCCACTGGCGTCACGGCGGGGTGCAGAAGTTTCACCGCTTTTCCCTTAAGGGCGTGAAGCGAATGTGTCTTCTTCACCATCCCGGCACTTATCCACGATCTTTTTCCGACTTCGAAGAACTGGTGGTCGGGAGTGACCCAAATGTCTTCGCCGTTCATTCGGAACACGACTAGGTCTCGTGCAGGTACGAGTCGCTTCCGAACTTGGTCGACACGACGCAGGTGTGTCACCGAAGGGTCATCGCCCTCGTGACGGGTCATTACCATGTCTCCTTCCTTTATTTCTTCGATTGGTACCAATCCATTGGCTGTGTGTACCAAGGTGTCTCCCCTGAAACATGACTTGAGCAGGCAGCAGTCATGATGCCATCTTGGGAGGCAATGTATGTTGGTGAGATCAGAGCAGTCACACGTTTGTGGTGGACAACACTTTGGGCACTTAATAACATCGCATTCTGTACCCACATAAGGAGAGTTGCATTCGCATTTGTAGGGATCATGTGGACACGTGCCGTGCACACAAGGTTCAGTGCAATAGGTAATGATGGTGCAGGGTCCATAGTGAAGATCAAAGCCAGGGACATGCACTTGGTTGCTCCAACCAAGGTCGCAGGTGCACTGCTTCCCCGTCCTTGTATGTTTACATGATCCGTGTTCGCAGCCGTCGCACATCAGGTCAGCACATTGTGGACCCATATATCCTGGAAAAAATCAGACCACAGATGTGAAACGGTGTGATTGCCTAATTGTAGTCACTTTTTCAATTTCTTTGGAATAACTCTTTCATTCTCACCATCGAAACTCACTGAGCCCTTTCATTTTCCATCATTGAATTTTTCAAAAAAACTTGTGTCTTTCTTAAAGATCAAGAAATTTTCCTCTTAGTCATATTTTACCATGTTTCATTTTCTTTTGCCTTCGCAATTAAATAGTGTAGGGAGGAAAGAACTTAAAATTTGAGTTCCCAGGAGACAAGGAAAGAGGAAAAAAAACGCAAGGCAATTAAAGTTGCAAAGGTTCAAACCTGGTTTGCACTTGCACGTGTTAGGGCCCTCCTCACATGTTCCTCCAACGGAGCTGCAGTTAACACAAGGTCCTGTGTACGTGGTACACTGTCCTTCTGGTCCCCAGTAAGTCTCACATTCGCAGACGTCAGGACGATGGGTACATCTTCCGTGTGGACAAGTTACGCTACACTCGCTGATCGTTTCACAGTGCAGACCTGATTATGAAAGAGAAAAAATGAAAGGAAGCAAGCATGAAGCTACAGAGGTTGCAAGTGTTAAGGAACCCCCAAAGTAAATATTGGTTTATTTTAAGAAAACAATTTAACATGGCTTCAAATGCTTAGGATAGCACGTTTTCCCTTCTGAAAAACTCTGTCAACGTTCCTGGATAGTACAGTAATACTCTCTTTAACCTGTAACACCGTAACATAGTTATATACATTTGCCTTGTTATTGTCAAGGTTAATTTTCTTTGGGATCACTTCCTTTATTTTCATGATACTCCCATGACCCTAACGTTGACCGATATTCCATACTAGTTACTCTTAGAGGTTTCCACCAGTGTAAAAATCACAGAGAGAGAGTTTTTTAGTGTTCTACATGTTTTTTTTTCACTTTCACAGTACAACTGGGGGTTAACCACACAGCCATTTTATCTTGATTACGATAATCACGCTCATTGCGGCAAACCGCCCAACGCTTAATAGTGAATCTTTTTTTTTTCTTCTCTTATATAAGATCCTCGAATAAATCCTTAGATTGCACAAGAGGTTCAAAATAACCAGTTGTTAGCAATGCAGTATTGACTGGAATCGAAGGAAACCCTCTGAACAGCTTCATTTGTTTTCAACATTGTTCAAGTTGAGTGGGCCGCTGGCATTGGAAACACTGTTATGAGCATGGGTTTTACAATACAAGGACAAATCTTGCACGTGAGCGTTTATGTTTATGTCAAGAAATTATTTTTCCCACCTGAATAGTGTGGTGGGCAGACGCAGTGATTAAGGTCGATACAGTAGCCTCCATTTTGGCACTCCCATCCTTGTGCACAGTAAGATCTACCAATTAAGAGAGAACAACCTCTTGATTATCAAGTCATTTTTTGTTTCAGTCACCATTAAAATACGTTATGGCCACGGCGTGGAAGCACAAAAAGTCCTTCTGTTACCTGTCACATCCTGTTTCGGGGCTCAGGAAGTTCTCATAGCATTCGCACTTTTTGGGATCATTTGGGCATGCACCATAAGTACAGTTCACTGAACACAACGAGCGATCGCACAGGTCACCCACCCAGCCAGGTTCACATTCACACTTCATCCGGGACTTGATACAAGAGCCATGCTTGCAGGAAAACCAAGGGAAACATGACTCCACTTTTTCGCAGTTGGTTCCATTCCATCCCGTGAGGCAACGGGAACATGTTACGCCATCAGCTCCGCAATATCCATGTTTACAAGTAGCATTTGGCTTACAGCCGACACTTTCGCAGCATTCTCCTGTATATTGCCCTACCCGCCTTCTTGGGTAACAGTGACAACTCTGAGTTGCCGGGTTGTAGTCCCCATTTCCAAAACACTGTGTTTCTGGAGGACAGGCACTTTCAACTTCTTCTTTTATAACAAGCACCAGCAGCAGAACAATGATAGGGCATGCGTACTTCAGCATTGCAGCTCCGTGAAATTCTATGGGCTAAACAAAGATTGACAATTGTTTGTATTTTATAGACTCGATCCAAAGCTAAATCTTCGGAACAGGGTCTCAATGCTAGCTAAAAATTAAGTCTTTAGTTGTTTCGGTCGGTTTCAATTTTAAAAAACGTATGACCGGAAAATTCGTAGAAACAGAGGAAAACATGATCAACAAATTGCCATCAAAACATCGTGTTGTAACGCGGCGTCGCTATTTACGCTATTACATTTAATCAAGAACAATAAAGAACTTCCGTCACTCGGCGAAATGACAAGAGGCGCGCCTATGCGTTGTATCAAACTATGCTTGTTTCGGTTTTAATTTAAAAAACAATTGGCCGGAAACTTCGTAGAAACAGATGAAAATTATGAGCTTGAGCACTGATTCTTAACAGATAATTATAAAAATGATTTGTTTCAACGTGTGACCTCTTTAATGCATGTTGTAACGCACACCAAAAAGACTTTCTTTCTCAGAATTCAACTTTTGATGATGACCTACTTGACTTGTAAAACTGCTTTCCCTTTTAATTCACAAGAAGTAAATTTCACATTTTTGGCTCAGTTCTGTCCGGCTTGCTATAGAAGAAGACTAAATTTGCAATACCAAAAGTCACTGGCCTTGAGACTGTGTGAAAATAATTCAAGAAGAGTGAAACGTCTATTTTGAACTCGGAAAATGAAGTAATTTCCTTGTCAGATCACTTCCGCTCTGATAGCTTGCATGCGCTTCTAGCTAGAAGCGTCCAATTTGTTAAAATAGTGTCGAAATTACTTGCTTAATATCCAATCGGTTAAATGATTTTTGGTCCCGCCTGAGTGTGAACAAATCAAACTGAAGATCGGACCACAGAATGGGAGCCTGTCGTCAGATACATGCAGTGGCAAACTGAGAACGCAACGTTTTCGGTTCAACTCTAAACAAATATAGCAGCAAAGAAGAAACATTTAGCCAAAATTATAGTTCCGTAC